AGCTCACTGTGTGAAGAAAGGTTGATTAAAGAAAAGAAGAAGAATCTTAAAAAGAAAGAAAGAAATAATGGCCCAGACTTCAGGAATCGCTAATCAAATATATAAAAGTTTTGATTCATTCATAAGCGTGATCACTGCTGGGCTATGGTTTAAATCCATGTTACAACTATAAGCACTAAAAGAGATTTTAAAAAATGAATTTTCGGCTGTCTACATGGTCGGCTTCACCTCTAAACCTAACAGACAATAAGAACAGTCAGGGGTTAAAGTGAGATTTGGCAAGTGGTACAGTGTGTACGCGCCACTGACACAAAAGGTTTGAAATAACAAGATGTTGAATGAACTTGTCATAGTTTCCATTCTTTAGCCGTGTTCCATATATCTTATTTCTCTTTATGAGGCTCTTTAAGATAATTAACATTTTCTGACAGGGTGAACCCAGCCCAGAGGAAGCACTGGCTCTAAGTCTCTTATTTCTTTTATTTACTCTATAAATATGAGTCTGACTGTGTGTGAGTTACAGTGACAGTGAAGACTATTATATTTCTTTCTGCTTCTGGTCTTTTCAGTTCAGACGTGTCATTTTTCATTTTCACGGCAATGATTTGCCCGTGTAGAGTTGCAAAACACAAGAGCTTGTGAATGTGAGAACTTGTAAAAATTAACTAAAAAACATAAATATATGAGGCAAATATTTCTGTGTGTAAATAGCAGTCTGCATATTACAAAATATTTTTTCTGTAACTCATTTCAAAAATACAAGTTCACATATACGAGCTCTCACACTTTTCAACATATTTATCTTCAATAAGTCATGTTTCCCCTTTATTTTTATTATCTGTCTCTTTTTCATCCCCTTTTGTTTGTTTTTCTGTGTTTTGGATGGATACTGCCTGTCTTGCTGTGATCAGAGAGAAATGATATGAGCTTCCAGCTAAGCTTGCGTCGTATAAATGAGAGTTATGCCCAGTGTAACAGAAAACCGTGAGATTTAGGAGAGCAGGAAACATCTCTCAAGATTCAAGATTCAAGAGCTTTATTGTCAATACAGTA